CAATATTTTAACCTTTTTGGTGACCACATGTTGCTTTTTCACAGTGTAAATACATGTGAATAAATCGTTCATCAAATAAATACCTTTAAATGTAAATTATGTTTTTAACTTTATCTTACAAGTGCAAGTATATGAAATATTTATCAATTTACTCACGATATTGCCTCTGTGGTGTCTACAGTATGGACTGCATGTGGTCACATTCAGCAGGCTTCCTCCAAACCAGCTAACAAGGAAGTGACATGTTATCTAAGTAAGACAGACAAACGTCAAAATAAAAGTCCAACCATATTATGCCGAGAGGCAACACACTTCACACTATGACCCCAAGAACAGACCTAACTATTCTATTACCATGAGTCCTTGCTCTGTTTCTCATTGCGTGTACAAAACAATTGGACATTTACAGACTGATTGTGTAAAAACTCCTCATATGTCCATGTGTAAACGCCCCTCGTATTTTTTTCTGCAGCAAGTCCAAATGAGCTGATGTGACAACACAGCAGGATATGATCAGGAGAATTCACCTTGAGCCATTGTGAAGTTCATATCCTGTGACTGATGCACAGCTCATAAACTGTGTGCACGCAACCTCTACGATTTCTGTGCATTAAACTAAACTGCTGCATTATGTTTCCATTGCTCCAGTATGTCGTTCTCCTCACTTGTGTTGATATTGTTGTTCTGTCCAACTACACATAACACTGATATAAAGGCAAAAATTCTCATTATAGCATCGTATAGCGATTGAACTACCAAACTCCATTCGCTCTGCAGAGTTCCTCTGCACCTTTAAGAAAAAGCTAAAGACCCAGCTCTGTCATTAACACCTACGCTCTTAATGATATTATTGATGATGATGACGATGGTGATGATGGTGGTGGTGATGATGATTCTGTTTGATAATGAGCATGACAATGACAATATTTAGGATGGTTTTGATTCTGAATAGAACTCTAAAGAACAGCTGTCCATGTTGTGCTTTGCCTCTGTGTCAGCACCTGTGTGTCCAATCAGACTGAAAGCTGATTGTTTGCACTTACTGACGTTGTTTCCTTCTCTCTAGATCCTTGCTTGTGTTGTCGTGTTACTCTCTGATGTACATTGCTTTGGATAAAAGCGCCTGCTAGGTGAATTGTATAAATGTATAGCGAACTCTATTTCTTCATTTGCCACTTCCTCGTCTACCTTTTAACGTCATGTCAAAAGCTGCTCCTCTTTTATCAAAACAACAAGAATGTAAGCCCGGTTAACTTAAGCACGTGTGGTGGAGTGTTACTGATCCCTGAGCCTGGGAAAATAAGGTATAATAACAGCTCATACAACAAGACAATAAAAAAATACAAATGATAGATTTATCACTGAGTAAAAAAAATGAAATCAGATTTTTTTTTTTTTTTTCAATTAAAGACAGAAAGACAGATACGAGCAGCTATTGAATCCAACATTAAAAACTTTAGGAGCATTTTAAGAAGCTAGTCTACTACTTTGTTTGTCATGTTCATAAAAATAAACCCAGGTCAAGGGGTTAAACTCACAATTGGCCCCATTGTCATTATCCAGACTGCTGCTCAATCCGTCAGGCGTCAACGACAACAAAACTGAGGAGGAAGATAGGCCCGCACACTCGCTCAAATGCCACAAGAAAAAGGTTTTAATGATCACAACGTTTCGACTAGAGGTCTTCTTCAGCAAGAGTGCGGGCCTATCTTCTTCCTCAGTTTTGTTGTTTTTGCACCTACGAGATGTGCATATAACCACCTCCTTTTTCTAAATGACAACAATGACAATGAGTCTGATTCTTTACCTCAGTCTGTTTTAACCTGGAACCCGCAGCGTGGCATTAAATAAACTTTTGAGTTTTCATATCCAGACAGTGAAAATGGTTAGATAAGGGATTGCCTTTAGACCCATGAAGACCTCTATACTTGCAAGTATGAATATGTATGTGAAATAAGTACCAGCGGTGAAACACGGCCTATTTCTGAAAAAAACCTCTCAATTGTACTCCCTTTACTATGTGTTACCTTTCAGGGAAGCCGCAGGGCATATTCTCGTTGCATGCATAAACGTCTCCCTCTGATTTCCAGAGCTTACCACCTTGTTGTGGATTCATAGACTGAGGACTTACAAATCAGACAACTCAGGCCCGCATATTGCCTTCTGCAACATCCTCAAAAATCAATTTCTGCTATTGGCAGGACATTGATTCTCTCTGAATGGATGGTGAGTCCAGGCAGGGACAGGAGATGATGTGGTGTGTTACAAAAGGAGACGCACACACACACACACACACACACACACACACACACACACACACACACACACACACACACACACACTCATACACGCACGCACGCACGCACACACGCACGCACACACTCACACACACACACACACACACACACACACACACACACACACACACACAAACACAGCAAGAACGGGTTGATAAGTGTCTGAGAGCCATGTGGCCCTGTCCATTGCAGCACCATTAATCCGACACAATATGTCTGCTTAATGCCGTGTGCCACGAGGAGAGGCGACACTTATCATCTTTAACGTCTCTGGTAGGACAAGGCTGGGGGAGGATCGCTCCCCCCTCAAAAAAAGGGAGTTTGTAATCAGACTCCACTTTAAGAGTGTAATATAAGGCACTGTTTCACTCACATAAATAAAAAAACAAAAACATCTCCCTCCATAACCGTGCAGAGACTTTTGAGGTTCCTGTTTGTACCTGAAACACAGCAGGTGAAACATCACAGAACTCATGTTGGCCCAGAGAAGCCAATTATTAAGTGGACTCTTATCTTAGATATAGGGGTCCCTTTGCACTGCTAAGAGCTTTGTGTTAGAAAGAAGTAGCAGACTCACTATCATCTCTAATCACATACTGCTTCATTTAAACCATGGAGAATTCTTAATGGTTTTTTTTTAACCATACACCAACCATTAAAAACAATGACATGACAAAAACAATAAGGTTTCTCTCAATACTGTATATATATAAAGATAGAGAGTTTTCACATACTGAGTGATGTATTTTATAAATTATTTGACTTGACAATGATCAGGTAAACACAAACACAACTCCAGATGAGAGATAATATTCTGCTGTTATATTAAATAACAGTTGTTGAGGTTGATGGTTGAAGGAAGATTATTATTCCTGGTAAAATACTGAATGCAAGTCTGTGATTGGAAACAACTACATGCATGTAAACAGCAAGCATTTGTATTTACATTGTGGACATAGTTCCAAAGGTAAAGCTTGACCATGCAGGTAAAGACAATAACTCGACATTGTAGGTCATGAGCAATCCTCCCTATTGGCTCCTATGTGCAAGCATTAGCACAGGATCAGGACCCTGGATAGTGCCAATATGTGCAGTACTGACCAAAGGCAGTATATAACATTTGCCTCATTGGCTTTAATGGGGAAGCCAATGAAAGGAAGGGCATAGCATAAAACCTGCATTCATTCTGATAGCCAGCAGGGAGCACCAACTTGATCCAAAAGATCCCACCTTACCAAGCCTCTAGACCAACCTAGACCTCCTTTCAAGACGGAGAGATTATTCCCACCAACAGATTTGACTGTCATGTCTATGATGTATTGTGTTTTCATATTGGTTGTTTTACTTTTTTTTTTTTATTCTGTTTGGTCGAGTTAGGTTGTTTTAAAGTGTGCTCCTGGCAAGTGCAAATAAAACCATGCGTATAATAACATAACCATCTTGATGGTACTAAGACTAAAAGGTAAGATAATGTGCATTTACCCTCAATAAATAGTTATATGACTATAATATCAGAGGATGAGTGAATGACTAATGTGAGCATTATTGAGCTCTGATCACCAAAGAAAGGTTATGACGGCCTTAAAAGCAATTCATCTTCTGGTTCAGAGCACATAAAGCAACATGTGTTGGGATGGCCAACAGGTTTTGACATTATGTTTGACAGTTTAATGCTTTAATCCTTCACTCTTTAATCTTTAATTTAATGTGGCCTATAGATATTCTTCCTAGCGGTGGAATGATTCACCTCTCAAGGCACCAATCTGCTCGTTTCAGCCCCCCCCCCCCTCCTTTGCCGTGAAGTCAAAAGCAGACAGCTGTTGGAGTAGCCCGTGACCATTTGTGTGTCCCTTTGTGCTACTGAGTGTTCACCAGCAATCACCATAACCTCCAGTCATTAGACATGAAGAGCTGCAGGGCCGCTATCGGAGAGATGAACATCCCGTCTTGTTGTTTAGAGCGGCCCTGTCGCCTTAGATACTGCTCGTTGGGTACAGAAATATTACAGTGAAACATGATGTCTCTTTTTTTTTGCAAAGCATTCAAATATTCATGACTCAGTCCAGACAACATATTTCAGCTTGCCCTCAGCTGATCTGGTGATGGAAAGCAGTAGAAACGCAGGATCAGTTGCAAAACACATGCAGATGGAGATGTGTTGTACAGAAAAAAACTCATGTTCTGTGTAGGCTTTTAAATTCTTTATTGCTCTTTAATAAGTCATGGAAGCTACCATCCACTGACACTGCACTTAATTGGAAACATATTCATATTTTCCAATTACCGTAAAAACCCCCTATTGAGACCTGAAAGGGTTGAATGGATCCAGGTTCATCATTGGTAAAATAATTCAGTTTCATCTACTAAATTAAGCAATTGACTTTCCTGGAGGGAGGCTGGTGATAAAATCTGCATGGAGGGGGAAGAAGATTAAAAAAAAAAAAAAAAAACACACCATGAATAGCTTCTTAGAGAATGTGGCCGTGAGGGGAAATAAAAGAGAAGCAGAACAAAAAAAATGACTGTATTACTGACTGCTTTAATTATAGAAGACCATATGGTGGAAAATAACAAATATGGAGAAAGACAGAGCATTATCCATCTCTCACTCTCAGCTCCTCCCCCATGCGCGCGGGGCTTCGTCTGATCAAATCCTTCAACTTGGACCACTTAGACTCAGCTGCACTTTTTACAACACTGCATTTGGGCAACGCCACAACTTGCGCAGCAGTTCCGCCGCTTCCTCCTCCGAGCGCGAATTCAATTCCCCGAGACGAGTGTGAGGAAGAGGGACCATTTGCATCCCCCAGCAGAACTACTCTGCCACCGGAGATGGAGAGGGAGGTCAGATTTCCCCCAAAGTGGCACAGTTTAGCGCTTTGGCTTTTGCTTTTGATGACGCTCTGCTGCTTCTACCATGCCACCGAAGCTGAGATAACTTGTAAGTCATGCCAGCCTGGAAATAAGTGGCGTGCACAGGAATTACTTCTGAAATTCGACACAAATGAACCCGCAACAGGATTAAAGAGAGAAGTTTTGGTGCGCGGAGACGGGGCAGGGAGATCCGGGGCTGCAGGTGCCGAAAGTCAGCGTCTCCGTTGCGCATCTGGGTCCGCTGAATGCGCTCCAGACCGGGCGGAATACGCGGAGCCGAGACTGAAACGGAATAATACACACTACCTGAGCTCAGAAGGCGAAATTGTTGTTGGCGAGTTTGCAAAGACGAAAGTTTCTGATGACAAAATGAACGGTCAGCAGCAAGGCAGTGATGCACTTTTGGCCTCTGCGAGCAGGAGCAGAAAGCGTACCAGAAGAAATAGTGATGGTGGTAAAGTCAGATCCCCCGATTCAGCCAAGAGTCAAGACCCGGGAGAGGGCACGAGCTCCGCGGCCGGACGCAGAGTGACGCGATCTGAAATGCGCTGGAGCGGAGAGGAGCGGAGAGCCGCCAGTGCGAGACTGGATGAGCTCAAACTTAACAGCTCAATGTTCGCCTTAACCGGGGATTCATCTCACAACCAGGCTATGGTGCACTGGTCCGGCCAAAACAGCAGTGTAAGTCATTTATCTAAATATTTTTTGACTTGAAGCCTCACTGGGCATATGAACGAACCCACAGAGGAGGCAGATGTGCGCTCATGTTGTCCATCAGGTGGGCACAAAAGCACCCTCAAGAGAGAAACCAGATCTCAGTGTGATGCGCCCTTTGAGATGCAGTGCATGTGTTTGTGTAGCCGACGTGTGTGAGGGGAGAGAGTGAAAGAGAGAGAGAGACGGTTACAGTGTGAGAGGTGAGAGAAACACTCTTCTGTAGGATAAACTGTCACCTAAGTTATGAAATGACACAGGCTTATGTCTTTCTCTTAACATCTTCTCACATCTGCATTTTTAAACAACAAAGAGTGTTGGGATTCATCTGGCAATGAATTTCCATGCTCCATAAAAAGGTCTGGTTTGTAATTCAATCATTTGATATGAGGACATTATATTCTGATCTAAAATAAAATAAAAAAAGGCCAAAACACACATGCCCCTTTCAATCTGTTCAGGCCTTTTATTTAAGTTGTAGAAGGAGAAAGTGACCTCGAGGAGGGGAAGAGAGAATGGGGGGGGATCTTATCCCCGGAGCTTCTTCAGGCTGAGCAGCTGAATTGATGTCGGGTTAAAGCTGCTCATGTTGAGCAGGGAGCATCTCTGACCAGAGGGCAGGATTTTCAAGTGGAGCTGGAGGTTGTGGGAGAGGTTAAGCAATTTTCCGGACTCCTCCTTCCCTCTTCTGAAGCAAGGCTTCCTCGAGCCACAGGCCTGAATGTACCTGCAAACTTAAGAGCTGCATCTCTTCTTGTAGCTTCTTGCTTGTTTTGTCATGACATTGAAAGAATTCCTTAGTGGAGAGGAAAGGGGATTTACAGAGTCTCTAAACTTCACAGTATGTAATTGTATGTTCAGTTGTTTGTTGACGCACCAAATCAGACATCCAGCAGTGGTCTCCATGCACCTGTTTCTTTCTTCCTTTCTTTTTTTATTGTGTGTGACCCACCTGTAACATCTTGATATTGACAGAATTGACCTAAAGTTTGATATTGGCAGGATTCCAATATCAACTTGGTTTACATATGGAAACGAATGGGGTGACAAATATGATGCTAGATTCGAAATATATTTTCTGCGGAAAATTTGAGGTATTTTACGTTAATTAATTTTAATGAATGGAGCCATTTTTTGGTCAAGTTTTTCCGAAAGCAGTAGAAAATATGCTCTTAATAACTCAGCGACATTTGTATGTACTTTTTTGTCCATCTGATATCCTTGAAAACCAAAGATATTCAGTTCAAACTGAGACAAGGAGAGCCAGTCATTTGAGAGTTTAAAGAGCAAAGACACTGTTGTGCATTCTTTTGAAAAAAAACAAAAAAAACATCGCTTATTAGAATGTTTGTATAATCAATTTTCTGATACAACTGTGTTCCAGCTCTTAAGTATTCAGTATCAGGACTGAAACTCAGTCGTCATTTTTGCCTCAAAATGACTCATTTTCAAATGACGCAGCCCTGCACCTGATCACTCAAGGTTGTCGTTATAATTGTTCTGCAACGCACAGACAGTGAGCATTTCCTGACTGTTGATATTTAGCATCATTCATAAGTGACCAAATCTGTCCTTCACGAGTTCATCTCTCATCTTTCAAAGGCCGTCTCACAACCCCTGGAATTTATTTGAATGTCCCAACACTGAACAAAGACGAGCAAAGCTAGAGTTCTAACAGTGATGTCAAAGAATGCCATGATGCCCTATTATTATAAGACATCCACTTTTATGTGAGTCCCTGTGCAACCTGTCTCATTGGAGCATTATGTGTTGTGTACCTCTACACGCTGCAGCTGGCAGTGCTGCTGGATGTGTCACTCTGAGCCCTGTCACCCATGGTGCAGCACATTTTATTACTTTGTTTTACCAGCTGCCTCTAATGCAGCATTTTGTCCATTCTTCAGAGACAACACATACAGGTTGTAGGAGAAACAGAGGAGCTTTGCCTTTTGTTCAATTCAAGCATGAATCAGAACCTGGGCAAACATGCTTTATGTCGGATCCCGAGTGATAACCGAAGCCTCAATGCAATTTCAGATTATTGCTTTAAACTTTAATTAAAATTGAAAGAGGAAAGACTTCAGGCAGATTAAGCAAAGAAGTACTGAAAGACAGTAGTGCGAGTGTATTCATTTGCTGCGAGGGCTGATATCTCAACCTTCTGTTCCTCCTTCTTCTTTCGTAAATTTTAATTGGTGTAGACCAGATATTGAAGGCATTACATGTAACAATGTCATTTTTATTTCTAAGAAAATCTGGTTTCCAGGAGAAGAAAAAAAGAAAAGAATTTGTCACATGTCCTGATGACTTCGCACAAGCGTACAGCTGTGTTGCACCAACACCACTTAGCCATGTCTGTAACAAAACCAATTACAGTCAAACATGTATCACCAGCGCCCAAGCCCTGCACTGAAATTCCATCCTGGGCCTCCGGTGTTTCTGAGGGCTTGACAAAGTAGTGTTTGCTCATGACAATGTGACCTTACAGGAGAGGCAGGGGAAACAAAAATCTGGATAATGCCCCCCCCCCACCCAACCCTTTTTCTTCCATTTTTCATTGTTATTTTGAAAGTCTCTGCCTCTGTCAATTTGTGTGCACCCTCTAAACAAAACAGTCATTACTATTTAGCAGCACCGTTTGATTTTCTGTGATCTGAATACTTGTTCAGCGATGAAACTATTTGCCCCTATTCTTTCAGTTGATCCACACGAGTTACTCAAGGCGTGCAAGAATAGAAGATCCTGCATTAAAAATGTAGAGTTGTTGCTATAAGCCGGAACAGGCATCCTCTGTCTTTACAATCTGAGCTGCTGTATAAATAAACAGATGAGTCAACAAAATGCCATGGAGCTAAAGTGAAAGGGATGCAGATAAGGGCTTCGCTGCTCTTAATGTTTAACCTTTAAGGCATTTACAAAGCGTGTCTCTTAACCAGCCTGCATGACTGGAAGCTTGTATGTCAGATTGGGTTGTAGCTTCTAATTATGACTCACGAAACATTGGCCACAGGAGTCATACAAGCTTTTATCAGCAAAACAGGAGAACAAATGTATTATGGGTAAAGAATACACAACAGTTCAAAGGACTGTCCTGAATATAGGAGAAAATGGCAGTATGTGTCACCATGCCTCAGTCTTAAGCCATTGTGATATATCCCATTATGCTTTCCCATTAACCAGTTTGTGTCATTAACATACATTTTCTATTTCCTTTGGTTGCAGTTTCCTCTTGGCATGTTTTGGTAGAAATCTAAAATTTTTTGAAAATTGGTCAAATTTTTGGCCAGAATAACCACCGTTTCTAATCCCAGTATTCCCATGAGTCCAAAAAAAAAAAAAAAAAGGGAAGCAATGGGGGTAGCTTTATGTTTCTGAATTGAAGTGTAATTACTAATGCAACCTTAATTTGTCCACGTTGCTCTGTAAGGCACTGGTCCAAAGAATGTCTGAATCAAATTCAAAGACATTAGAAAATTTTCGATTTTTTTTGTTCATACATCTCTGCCTTTTTAAGGCCTCCCTTTTTTGAATAAATGTTAACAATTTGTGCATACATGTGAATGTAGTGTATGTTGCTTCATTGGATCAGGCCAGTCTAATGATTTATCCAATAAGCTAAAATGCATTTTATTCTCGAGAATCCATAGAGTAGAACAAAATACGGCAACACTAAGTGTACTGATGTTTGGTTTTGTCCATCTATGGAAAACATTTTCTGCTCTGTTTTTAACATTTGCTTAATGGGACGTAGCACCCCTGTGATTGCATTTTCACCAAATCAGGCTGTGGTGGTCCTCATTCATATATTTCCCAATTCCATCTGCCACTCCATAATAATACAAAAAGAAGCAATTTTTGATTCCCTGTAAGATTATCTGAATGTTTCCAATGTTTTCAGGTTTCATTTTTATCATCAAATTAAGACTTAGTTAATGCTGCTTAGCACTTAGCTTGTTGCCAGGCTTTAAAATGTCAGGCTTGCCTGTTTGCTTGGGTTTCTTGTTCCATATTTATTTTTTCAAAATCTCAGAAATAATACAAAGAATGTAAAAAGAAATACATTACCTACTGGTTCAAGACAGCATAGAAAGTTTTTATTATATTCACATTTTAGCCTGATGAAAAAAATGAAACTGGTGACAAGACAATCCCTGCATTAAATTGAGCTGTCTGTTTTTTGTTGTTGTTGTTGTTGTTGTTTGAGTCCTTCATTCTCGGCATCTCTAGCTATCCATGGCAGATTTTGAAATACACTGCTGTCTTTTTGGATACTACAAATGAGAAGTCCCTTAATATAAGATTTATTTGTGCATCTTAGCTCTTTGATTATTTGTAACTGGAATGGTTCAAAAATAATAAAAGCACAATGTGGCCTCCAGTGAAACATTTTCATGCCACTACTTTTAACATTTTATGTCACCAGAATAATACAAGGCAGCTATTACCAACCAATTTTTCATTTACAATTATTGCAACACAGTAAAAGTGAGAAAACAAATACCTGCTGAGTTGTTGCCACTATAATTGAGATTCTGAGTAAAAGGTTACAAGCAAAGAGCAGCCTCTCTGTGGGGCCTGTGGCATATTGCTCAGGTGGATGTACAGCATGCACCGCCACCGTATTATTTACATTATGAAATGTCACACATTGAGTACTTTGCTCCGTCACTCTGATGTATTCAGACTGACATATTGTCTATCAGTCGTAGAAGTTTACTCTTGAGCTTTGATGCGGCCAAAGACGTTGGACATTTCCTGCTTGAACACGTCCAAATAAAAGCCAACAGAATGAGGTAAATTATAAAATAAATCCTTTTAGAGAGAACAGTAATGTTGCAGATTTTCACACACAGATGAACAAGTCAGATATATCAAGAGATTTTGTCACCAATTAATGAGGAGTCGATCACATGGTGTTCTTCGGAGCGTTGTGAGAAAGACGTTCACATATGCTGTCTTCGTCGACT